GTATATATATATATATAAAAAAATACATCTTATATGAACATACCAACTTATTAAAATACAAAAAGAATTGAATAAATTCACTTTAAGATGTAAATCAGGACAGTATTAAAATACTAAATATTCTGAGATGGAGTAAGTTTTCCATCTTTCTACTTTTTTTTTTTTGAAGTATTTCAGACTTTCTCACTGAAGTGCATCGAGAAGAAAGACATAAAATAAAGTAGAAAGAAATAAAGTGAAGAAAAGTTTACATTTCTTCCATTTACATGTGTGCATATAATATTTACCCACCAAACAAACCATATTCACAAGTTCAGAAAACCACGGGTTCAAAATATTCCCAAAAAGCTATAAAAAAATACATCTTATATGAACATACCAACTTATTAAAATACAAAAAGAATTGAATAAATTCACTTTAAGATGTAAATCAGGACAGTATTAAAATAGTAAATATTCTGACATGGAGTAAGTTTTCCATCTTTCTACTTTTTTTTTTTTTTGAAGTATTTCAGACTTTCTCACTGAAGTGCATCGAGAAGAAAGACATAAAATAAAGTAGAAAGAAATAAAGTGAAGAAAAGTTTACATTTCTTCCATTTACATGTGTGCATATAATATTTACCCACCAAAATTACCATATTCACAAGTTCAGAAAACCACGGGTTCAAAATATTCCCAAAAAGCATTTTATCTCCTACAACTAAGGAATGACTATTACTAATTTTCACAGAAATCCAATTAAAAACATCCACCCAAAACGTAGGGGTAAAATCACAGTAGTAGAAAACAACTTCTTGTCATTTTGTGCCACAAGCAAACGCACTCGATTTAAAATCAATATATACACTGCCAGTCAAAAGTTTGGGATCAGTAAGACTTGTAATGTTTTTTAAAGAAGTGTCTTCTGCTCATCAAGGCTGCATTTATTTGATCAAAAATACAGAAAAAAAACAATTTTAAATAAATGCTCTTCTTTTTAACTTTTTATTCATCAACGAATCCTGAAAAAAAGTATCACCGGTTCCCAACCAAATATTAAGCAGCACAATAGTTTCAACACTGATAATAAATCAGCATATTATAATGATTTCTGAAGATCATGTGACACTGAAGACTGGTGTAATGATGCTGAAAATACAACTGCGCATCACAGGAATAAATTAGATTTTAATGTATATTAAAACTATAATTGTTATTTTACATCATAATAATATTTCACAATATTACATTTTTTCCTGTATTTTTGATCAAATAAATGCAGCCTTGATGAGCAGAAGAAACTCCTGTAAAAACACATTAAAAATCGTTCTGATCCCAAACTTTTGACCGGTAGTTACTTAACAGACACATTAAACTCCATTACGTAGCCTGAATTATGAAACTGCATAAAGCTCTGGGTTCACAACCACAGGAAACACAAAAAAGCACAGCAGAAATGCAAGAAGGAAAAGCAAAAACAGGACAACGACTAAACGGAGCGCAAATAAGACAAACCATGTTCGCCTGACAAATGCATATAAGGTTTGGTTTGCTGAAGCATGACATACGATCTGATAAAGCACAGCAGAGCTTCACATCTCCATCACGTCGCGTGCCAACCTCACGTTTCCTCTTCTTACTTTCTGAGTTTTGCACCAGTTGAAGGCCACACCCTCAAGCTTTCTACACGCTCTTCATATCTTTCCAGAAGAAACCGAGAAGATCGATTCAAATCCTGCTATGGTTTTGAAGCCTCCGACACCTTGTGAAGGTTTTGCATCACGTTCGTCTGTGTTTTTCAGCGAGTTTGTTCCTCTCTGGTGCTCTTGCGGAAATGACTGATCAGATCTGAAGGCCATGAGTGCTAAGCTCACATCATCAAATAAACCCAGGCCTTTTTCCCCCCGATAACATCCTATGAGCGTACGATCCGGCATCTTTAAAAGCAAACCTGAATGAAGAATTGAGACGAGAAATACAGAATAGAGAAAAGCCTCCAGTCCTTACCTTTCTCTCTGCACCGGCACAAGCTTCAGTGTAAAGTGTCTGTGACGCAAGAAACCACTAAACTTCCCTCAGTGACTTCCTGAGTCTTTACTTTCTGTCTTGATTCTCCATTTCTAATATACGCCTTTATCTCGACCTCTGCATGGTGTCTGCCTTCATCCATCTGCTTTATATAGGAAACATCAGGCCAACATGCCATGTTATTCAGCGGCCTAAATATGGGAAAGATAGATGGACATCAGGACACAAAACCACAGTGCTTTGATATAACTATGTTTATTCATACATTTAGAAGATGCTTTTTTAAAAAGCGTATTGCAAATGAGGAAAATCACATGCAGTTTGTCATAAAGGGCAATCATATTCTTAGTATACATATTAATTAGTGCTGTCAAACCGCGATTAATCACATCCTAAATAAAAGTTTTTGTTTACATAATACATGTATGTGTGCTGTGTATATTTATTATGTACTGTATATATATATATAAATACACACACATGCATGTATATATTTCAGAAAAATATGTTATGTTTACATATTAAATATATTTATTTACAATATAAATTATATGCATATAAATATAGACATGTAAATATTTTCAAAATATATACTGTTTGTGTGTGTATTTATATATACATAATAAATATACACAGAACACACACATATATTATGCAAACAAAAACTTTTTTGTATGCGATTAATCGTGATTAATCGCGATTAATCGTTTGACAACACTAATATTAATGCATAAGCTACAGCAGAACACTTACCATGGTATTTTCATGGTATTCCAGGGTACTTCAAAGGAACAGTATTGTCATAACAAGGTAAATAAATGTTCAAGAAAACATGGCATATCCATAGTATTAACAAAACAAACAAAAACAGGTATTTCTATGGTAATGTCAGTAGTACTTTGATATGAATACTTTTATGTTTATGCATTTAGCAGATGCTTTTATCCAAAGCATCTTGGAAATGAGGCAAACTACATGCAATTTGTCATAAAAGCCAACAATATTCACAGTATACAAGTGTACGAACTATATTAATGCATAAGTTAGAGCAGAACAAGGTGATATCGAATGATTACCATATTCACTTACCATGGTATTTTCATGGTATTCCAGGGTGCTTCAAAGCAAAGCATTATTATAACATGGCAAATGTCCAAGAAAACATGATATTTCCATTGCACCATGTTGAAAAACAAAACAAAAATGAGTATTTCTACGATACCATGATGTCCAAAAAACAACAACAACAACAACAGTATACTTTCAAATATACATATACACCACGGTACTTAAAGAGGTCATCGGATGCCCATTTTGCCCATTTTGATATGATTCTTTAGGGTCTTAATGAAAAGTCTGTAACATAGTTTGGTTAATATTTCTCAATGGTAGTGTAAAAAACACCTTTTTTACCCTGTCAAAAACAGCTCTTTTCAGAGCAAGCCGTTTTGTAACATTTTCCTTTAAATGTTAATGAGCTCTGCTGCCCCCGCTACTGTCAATCAAACTATCATGGGAGGGGCCTGTCTGTGTGCCGTCACATAGACAGGCATCTGAGATCAGCTCGATTTGAGAAAAGGGAAATTATTTAATGAGATTAAAAAAACCACTGGGTGGATTTTTATCATTATAGGGTGGTTGTGTACACACACTGCCAACACACATTTATGTTCAAACAACTTGTAAAAGTGCATGTAGCAGCCAATGACCCCTTTAATGTTTACCATATCCATAAACCATATTTGTCTGATTTTCACTGTGCAAAATAATTTCAATGTCTAGGTTTTGAGCTCTCACGTGCTGCAGAGAGAATACTTTTCTTTGTACATGAAACAACTTTAGCTTTGATATACAACGTACCTCACATGAGCACTTTTATGTTCTCTGACCCTCCCATAGACAGCAACATACGTTGAATACATTGATTAAGTTCAGTGGATACTCTCAAAAATGGCGCTATAGGGAGGAGGCGAATTGTTGAATAAAGTCGTTATTTTAGTTTTTTTGCACACACAAAAGTATTCTCGTAGCTTCGTAAAATTATGGTTGAACCACTGATGTCACCAGTGCTGCCAACTAATTTTCAGTATATAGACATAATAAAAAACTAATAAAATGACAACATTACGATGAGTCGATGGTCTTTACACTCTTCGGTCTTCACACGACCGCAGCCGCGACCGCTTCCGCGGTAAACTAAGCTTTGAGCTCTCACGTGCTGCAGAGAGAATACTTTTCTTTGTACATGAAACAACTTTAGCTTTGATATACAACGTACCTCACATGAGCACTTTTATGTTCTCTGACCCTCCCATAGACAGCAACATACGTTGAATACATTGATTAAGTTCAGTGGATACTCTCAAAAATGGCGCTATAGGGAGGAGGCGAATTGTTGAATAAAGTCGTTATTTTAGTTTTTTTGCACACACAAAAGTATTCTCGTAGCTTCGTAAAATTATGGTTGAACCACTGATGTCACCAGTGCTGCCAACTAATTTTCAGGGGAAGTTGCTAAAGCAAGGTCGATTTGTTGCTTAAAAGTTGCTAAATGATGATGTGATGTCATTGCGCGATGACGACATCATTACGTAATTAGGACGCAAAAATGTGCATCAAATCTCAGCAAAAAATATATTTTATATGTTAATTTAGATTTGTTCGTAAAATAATATAAATACAGCACGTCTCCACAGTAAACGCACCTTTGTTAAATCTACAATCTACTATGTTAATATGAAGGAATTTTCCGTATTGATTTTTCAAGGGTTTTTAACCTGCATTTGAAATTATGCATTGTATTTTGTGTTTTTGGGTTACAGGGTTACAACGGATAATGGATAACACATAATGTCCTGACTTAAAACATAAATAACTGTATTTTTAAATACAACATTTAAATTATTGAACACTTACACATTTTTTAAACCATTACAATTATAATTTTTTTTATTAGCTAATAAACTAATAAAACTACACATTCTGAACAATTATAGTTTTAAGCAGTGTATTAGTAGTTAGTTAGTTTCCATTTTTCTCAATCTTTTTCTTACAGTGTAGTAACTGTAGTAGGTGTTTCATAAATTAACAATTATTCAGTTATTGTTATTAAATTGAACAATAGCAAATAGCAGCTAACTTAATTCACTGCTAGGCATCTTTGGTTTCCTCATTTTGTGCAATTTAGATGGAAATTGTGTGCCTTTTTATCGTTTGAGTCACTTATCAAAAGTTGCTAATAATTGCCAAATACATTTTAAAAATAGCTACATTTGTTGCTAGGTGCTTTTGGAAGAAAAAGTTGTAGTGTGAAAAGTTGCTAAATTTAGCAACAAAATTGCTAAGTTGGCAACACTGGATGTCACATGGATTATTTTAACGATCTCCTTGCTTACGTTTCTGTGCGTTGATCGTGTTAGGATCCTTGCTGTCTATGGAGGGTCGGAGAGCTCTCGGAATGCATCAGACATGTCTTAATTAGTGTTCTGAAGATGAACGAAGGTCTTACGGGTTTGGAACGACATGAGGGTGAGTAATTAATGACAGAATTTTCATTTTTGGGTGAACTGTCCCTTTAAGTGCCACCCCCCATTTTTTGAGCATTGACGGGAAAGTGCACTATACAAACTTAAATTGTTATAATGAACGCTTTGGAATACAGACCTAAGGTTGGACTCTGTTTTAAGACAATCTTCTTAAAAAAAAAAAGAAAAAAAAAAAGAGTCCAACCTTCAAAATATTAAAGTATCAATAAGTTATAGAAGTTTAAATTTACTGTTAAGAAAATGCACTGTACCAATTGTTAATTACAAAAATATTTTTGAATCCAAAATTGCTATAAAATTAAAGCCTTATGTCTAAATAAGTTATGTTCCAAATTTGAAGTTGATATTAAAAAAATTGAGGTTCCTGTGAGATTTTATTTTAAGGCGTTATACCACAAACAGCCACCGGGTGCCATCAAAACTCCATTATGCATTTTTCTGTCACAAATGTCTAAATTTCTCTGTCAATATTACTTCTATCAAAAAATAACCACCAAATATTGAATCCTGAGACATTTCTGACAATATGTATTTTGTCAAGAATATAAAAAATTTTGATAAAAAAAAAACATAATACATTTTGTAATATGAGACTTGAATCCACCCACTAAGAGACCGCTAAAAGATTTTAAAGTACCATTTCCATGGTAAGGCAATGTCCAATTTAAAAATTAATCTTTCAAATTATGTATAATTTATTATGATTATTAAAATATGTAATAGAGAAGACAAAAAAAAGAGTGCATTTGGGCCTTTGGGTGACACTTAAGGGGTTAAAAACTTTTAATATCATAAATGACTGTTGCGATACTTAAATGTAGTTTTTACACTTTCAAATCGTATTTTCATATTTTTTTCTAAGATTGTATCAGATGACGTGTTTTTTGTGCAATTTGTAAATGTATGATTTGTCTGCATGATTAAATAAAACAAATGCTAAGAAATGGTTCAACTGTAAAGGCTGCAATTTAAATTTTTAAAATGATTTAACGTTTTAACTTTTAACATGAAAATAACTGACATTTTTAAATAACCTTTTAAAATAAAAACTTTTTTCCATTTTTATTTTTGAATTAATATTGTTTTTGGCACTCCTGGAACATAATGCCATGTATTTGACCTTCAACATTTCAAATGTTTAAATAAATGAAATATAACTAATTTATTATAAAACTACACTTTTATAAATTATTATAACTGTATTAATGTGTTGTTAATGATAATTTAATATAAATAAAAAAAAATTTTTTGAAGGTTTTGAGCACCACTAATATTATAATAATCAAAGATTGAACTCTTTGTTTCCGCCCTTCTCTTCCAGTTTTTACGGTCGCTGCTGCTGCTGCTGGAAGTGTTTTTGTCCGCAATTTCTGGCATTACAGCATCAGTTCAGTCCAGACTGAGAGAGAGCCATGATCTGAACGCGTTCAGACGGGAAGATGTCGAGCAGCAGCGGCGTGTTTGAGAGCAGACTGAAGGCGGTGCTGGAGTCCGCGGTGATGGAGATCCTCCAGCTGCTCTCTTCCAGTTTTTACGGTCGCTGCTGCTGCTGCTGAAGCCGGAAGTGTTTTTGTCCGCAATTTCTGGCATTACAGGATCAGTTCATTTCAGACTGAGAGAGAGCCGTGATCTGAACGCGTTCAGACGGGAAGATGTCGAGCAGCAGCGGCGTGTTTGAGAGCAGACTGAAGGCGGTGCTGGAGTCCGCGGTGATGGAGATCCTCCAGCTGCACGAGGAAGGACTGGCGCTGCTGCGGCCGCAGATCCGCCGGAGAGACGCGCAGATCGGCGCGATGCGGAGCTCCAGAGACTCGGTACACAGCTCCGATCATCACTCATCAGCGGGCTTGCGAAGGCTACTTTGGAAATGTAATAGGTTACAGATTACAAGTTACCCTATTTAATATGTAATAACTAGGGCTGTCAGTTTAACACGTTAACTTAAGTAGTTATAAAAAATTACGCGATTAAAATATTTTAACGCACTGGCCCCGCCCCCAGACCTGACGTCATCTTACATTTCATAGAGTTGACTGTTGATAAATATGATGCAGAGCAACAACTCCATAAATGCAGTTATGCCCTAAAATTCGAGATATTGGGGCAAAAAATGTCCCTGTAGGAGTTTTTGTCTCATATTTATATCACGTGATAAGCGATATCACATGAGTTCTGTATTTGTCACGAATATCACGAGTGCAAATGTGATTTTACACAACAGTTCAGCAGCTAAATAAGAAGTTTATATTGTGTTATATTTTAAACACAATATATTCTGTTTTTGCTCAGTTTTGCAAACAAAAATAAATAACCTATAAAGCCACAGCAGAATTGTTGCGCATCTGTGAGAAACACAGCGGTGTTTAGTTTCTGAATGAATCCACGTTTTGAACGAATCGAGTGAATCAATGATTCAAAGATCCATTAATAAAGAGAGTCCTTTACTGAATTCCTGAATGAATCAGCCGTTTGAACGAATCGAATGAATGAATGACTCAGACATTTACTGCCACCTGCAGGCAGATTTAGTTTATTATTTAGAGTATTTCATTTTTTTAAAAAAGGGAAAAAAACTTTAAAGGGATAGTTCACCCTAAATTTTTTAATTATGTAATCATTTACTCAAACCTGAATGACTTACTTTCTTTTGTGGAACATAAAAGAAGGTATTTTAAAGACTGTCGGTAACAAAGCTGTTTTGGTTACCAGTGAATTTCATCGCATGAACACAAATAAAAAAAACAGAGTTTTTCAAATTATCTTCTTTTATGTTCCATAGTTTATGTTGGGCCGTTGTAGCCTAAACGTTTATGTGTAATAAATTTTATGTTGAATCAAATAAAATATTTCTTTCTAAAGCTACTATTTGTAATGTCTACTTACTACTTTCTCATTTAACACAAAAATAGTTTTAAATAATCTTTTGGGGGTATTTTCACAGC